ACATCTTCAAGCTTGGGTGATGTACATAAATAATAATATGAAGTGAACAATACAGTTTTGGGCATTAATCCCACGGAAAAATCTTAAAACGAAAAATAATTCGTATTCTGACCCAAAAAATGAGCTATCAACACATCTTGTTACTAAATTTTGAAACACCTTGTAGAAGATGAATTCCCTTTTCAGATTTAACTTCATGAATAAATATTTCAGATGGAAAAGCATAAGACCTTTCAATTGATATGACGAACATTTCATCCAAGTGAACAATGAAAATGATTGAGAACTCGTTGATATTGTGGTGAGAGTCCATTTCAGCAAATTATTCTGAAGGAATCTTTAATTTTCATGAGATATTTGTGTCCACATCTTTTTCATTCCTTACAAATACATCCAATCCAAAATTCAATTCTGCCAGATAACCTATGACATGCTTAAAAAAATTATCATCAGGGTCATTTTTGAGGTGGCTTGAATCAAATTACATCATACAAAATGTAAAAAAAAAATGAATTTCACCATTTTATTAGATTCGTATTTGAAATAGTTATGAAACGGGGAAAACAGTTCATGCATATTGACAGATAGGGACCAGCAGGAAATTAAAACATAACTTTCGAGCCTCAGGAACAACTATGCATGTTCTCAATAATTATTTTTCTACAAACGCCTTAACAAAGTAGCCTTTGACGCTTTCAAATTCCAGCACAAAGTTGACGTTTTCCCAGAAATGTCATTCTTTGACAGCATTTGCGCTCGTGAGCGGAAATATTGAAAAAACGCTCTCTTATCTCTGTAACCTATACTTATCTATTCTTGAAAACCCCCAATTCTTTCATGATGGAAAATAGTGAAAGTGAATCATCAAACACACCTCCTTCCTGATGATATAGCAGAAAGCGCAAGAGTTTGAATCTCTTACCGGAGAAATCAAGGAAGAAATATGAATTACAATATGATACATTCATACATTGGTGCCACTCCGAGATGGTGAATATGTATTCATAAAACGTTTTACTGGCTTATTTTGGTAAAAAATCAAAGACTTCGAAGTCATCAACTCATTGGTCTATATATTCGATGGTACGTATTCATGCTTGAATGTTAATATGTTATGAATGTTAATATCAGAATCAATAAGCATCTGAAACTCATTGCATTTCTCAAGAAACAATCTATTGGATATAAAGCGAGAAAAATCCAAAACATTTACCGCTGAAGATATATACCTACAAATTTCTACAAGAAGCTCCCGATGAAGCATATCTGTTGAAAACGATGAATTATACTTTATATTTAAACTCTTTGTTGTCATCAGAAGGACAGTGTATCTTTATTTTATTGCATCAATGAGTAATGTTCAATTTGATTGCAGAGCTTATCGTACTATGGCTCAGAGGTCTGAAGCTCAGGTTGCCACGCTGGTGATCCAGTTTCAATTCTCGGTAGGCCCGAATTTTTTTTCTGGCTTGTCAGTTATTTCAATTTTTCTTTTTTTGTTTCCTTTGGACATATGAGATAATATGGATTAAAACTTTCTCAACTATTTCAATCGCTCATACTTTCAGGGTAGTTATTTCCAAAAGCTGCGTTAGTAGAAAAAATCTTGTGTATTTCGAGCACAAAGTGTTATTGCCGCTCTCCAAAGATTACCGCGCTCCGCTCCGCATCGCGCGGTAACTTTCTTTGTCGAGCGGCAATCTATCACTTTGCGCTCTAAATTCACAAATAGTTATTCTATGCTGCTGTTCTCACTCTGGAAGCCTAGTTTATTGCTTGGTAATTTCGTTTCAAGGATATCTTCTGAACAATCACAATGATAAAACGCCGTGATCTTGAGATAGGCCTAAGTTATCGCGAGAAAAACATCCCGAAGCAATTCCATAATCTAGAAGGGAGATGTGCTTTGGAATTCTTTACCAATGGAAGTATTTAAAAAAATTCCAACACCTACCTCCTCTTTCTGTCGTCCCTAAAAATGACATCGCACGTTTCATTGCTAGTAGCGCCAAAGTCAAAATCGCCTAGCAATAAACCCAGCTCAACGGAAAAGTCAAACTTTTTCAACTACATTTCCATGAATAAATATGTCACTCATCATAGCCAATGACAATGAGGCAAGGCAAGACTTACTACGTCAAACGGTGATATGTACTCAAAGCTTAAGATTTTCTTGTTGAAATCGGGTCCAGGTATCAATCATTATCAATAGCAGGTGATATGGGAAGCTTGAGGCATACGGTGAGCCTTTATTTCAACATTCACAGTAAAGGATTTTGTTTATGAAAATTCATTAATAATCTTTGTAATGATGCCTCAACCTTGTGTTGTGCGTTTGTGTTCATAGATAACAAATATAGTAAGCACAGATTTATATGATTTTCATTCATTTCATGTCATGTAGATGACAGATGACCCCAAACTAAATTATACTGCATTCCAAAAAATTAGAAGTCATAATATCAGACAGGTGTAATATTGCCTCCAATAATAACCACTGAAAGCGAATTTCAACACTGTTATGTTTTATCCCATCAATTATCTTCATTTATGAAATTGTCAATTTACTGATTCAACTTTCCTTGGCACAGATGAATAGAGAATTTCATGTGGAACATTATCATTCCAAAAAGTATTAGTAGAAAATCAAAGATTTCTATCACTTCCGGTTGAACCATGTGCATATATCTATTTAAAAATTTCAATAGAAACAGGAAACACCTCCCTACAAGAAATTCGTCTCCAAACCTGAGGACATAAATCTGATGGATTCCGGGAAGTATCTATCTGATTTAACAGAAATACCATAGCTATAGCTATATTATACCTGGAATCAATTTTTTTATCAATACATTTTTAAATGTTTTCATCAATTCCATTAAAATGAAGAAGAATAACTGTAATGAATGAATGTATAACTAATAATATCCAATCATCACATGTTTCCAAATCTGGTGTGGAGCAAGAATTTGAATTCAGTGAAGGAGGATTGAATAACCTCTATACAAAATCTCCATTCCATTTCAAATTTGGATGTGATTCAAATATGAAAATGATTGAGAATAAAACACAATATTTGATTCATTTCATGGAAGAAGCCTCTGTGATTCAATTTTCAATACATTATATTCTGGTTGTGTTTCATTATATTCTCATAAGGAGATTTCTACATCCAACCTGAACATCCAATATCTTTCTGTATAGCCTGGGAAAGATCCATTTTATTGTTTCAGATATTCTCTCTATATAGAGTAGAATAGTTTATTTGACAATGTAATATAAATTACATGTATGGCAAGTCATGATTACAATAGGAAGTGCTTGGAAATTAAAATAAAAATAATCTTTACCCTCAATCACCAAAGGGCAAAAATACAGGATATGTAAAACATCAAATATCTGAATAAAATATCACATGTGAACCTATGGATACCATTCTTTGAAATTGTTGTCCACAGAATCTTTGGTATGTTTATTGGTGCTGCTGAATCATGCATGAGAAAATGATGAATATTTGCATTTACTTTTTGTCCAGTAGCAGCCTAATATTTTGAATTCAATTGTTGGTTTTTCTTTCCATAAAACTACTTTGATGGAAACCAAATATCATTTTTAATTCATGAATTTGAGATGTACCTTCAAATTTTCACATGACATTTCATTTATGTTTCACAAGTTCCAACTTGGCCACATTCTGCATAAAATGGTCTATTACAAAGCCACAAAACCTGTAAAAATTTTTCTAATTTAGCAGACTATGTATCCTTATTACCTTACATGAACCTTCAGTGGTGTACATAATATGACTCTCATGATAATGAGAGTAGAAAATCTTGGAATCCAAGTAGAACATATATGATATAAAAACTAATAGGTAAACATGATTTTGTAAGTTTTGGTTCCAATTTATTGTAAAAATATAATAACACTAATAAATGTTATTTTGTTTGTAAATGAATACACTTACCATAATAATAATATGCCAAAATTTTTTGGAATAATTTGATTTGAGTAAGTGGAATGAGGCATACACAGGGTGTTCCTGTATCAGAGTGAAGATTCCTTCCATTGAGATAAATATACATGAAAACAGTTTGTTTCCTGTTATGAGTTGGAAAATCATTAAAAAAAAACACTTTTAACAATAGGAATATTTTCATAGTTTGTGGACTTCTCAGAATTTACTGAGTGATTCCAGGGACATGCCCATGGGAGGTGGGTTAGTTTTGTGCATTTAAAAATAACACCATTCTTGGTCTCTTGATCTTTTGAGGTGAAAACAAGACCAAAAAGTCATGCTATTCTTTTATCAAAAAAACAAAAAGAAATTGAGAAATCTACAGGTGTAATTTTTTTGTTTAAAACTAAGAAATCAGCAAAATTGTTTTTTACATACAATAATCTTGTTGATTTTCAAATATACCTGTTGAAATGTTCAATCACAAACTTCAGAATAACTGTTTGAGCACTTATAGGACATGAAACATACTTAAAATTCATAACAGAATTCAAAAACAAAATTCAAAATAGGTTTTTCAATTGGATAAAATGAATTTGATTGGTGTTAACTCAATTTCAGATCATACTGCCAACATAAATTAAAAATCAACATGTTAATTGTTTTTCCAAAAAACAAACCAGTGATTTCTGTTTTTTTTTTTTTCAACTCATCTCACTCATCTTTATGCAGTGAAGATGAGTGAGATGAGCACAACCATATATTTTCCTCTAATTGCACAAATTACCAGTATGACTATTCCAATGTTTCAGTTTGATTCTCAATACTGTGTAACTTGTAACTTGATCTCCACTTACCAATGCAATTTTTGCAACCAAAACTATCCATAAAGAATCAATTATTGTGCCAAGTAAACAAGTTACTCTTCATTAATCACTTTCTTCAACAATGAAACACATTAAAATGTAATCACTGAGATGTACAATAACTTATGATAAACCATCTCCATAACTGCATGCAATAATTGATATATGAAACATACCTGGTTCATGCTGGTGAAAGGAAATGGCCTATTGGATGCTACTGAACTGGTCCCTACCTTGGGCACCACTGAATCCGAGGGACAAACCACATTGGGGGATTTAAATTGCACTTGCGTATTGTTGGTGTTGAGGGAGGTTGAGGTTGCATTTGTTTGCAGGAAATTTGATAAGCCAAGATCCTGCTCTTGGCGATTACTGCTACCACTAGTTGACCCATCTAGAAAACAAGGGCAAATCAGATTTCATTTTATTATTTTCCAATTTCTATCAAAAAAAAAATCTCCTGATGGAATACACTACATGACAATAAATAAACTATACAATGATTGTGAATACTACTGAGAGTTCCTAAACCTTCAATTATAATGACTTTCAAACACCACTTCATGATATTTTCATAAAAATGGCCATTCTATTATGTCCACTAAATATAGATTCATTTAAGATTTGAGCTGATTGACATAAATACCTAGAAATGCATGTTTTCTCAATTATTTAATGAACCTGTGATGACCTAATTAGTGAAAATTCAACTAAAAGGGTATTTTCATGTGAAAAGTGTGTCTTTCACTTCAAGAAATTAAAAACAGATTGTGTATGTGTACCAAAATCAATCACTATAAAAATCTTACCTTGAGAAGTTCTCAAAATTATTTCTTGGGGTTCTGAGTTGATGGATCCAGTGGCCAATCTAAGAGATATGACTTGTTCCCCATCCACTTGGATACTGAGTATTCCAAGGGCCCTGAGCTGTTGGGAGCCCTCATTAGCAAGCTGCCTAAGGCGTAACGCTGCTTCCCTAGGAATGGACAGCGTTACACGCACTGAGTTCCAGGGCTCCAGTTTGCGAACTTTCACAGAGTCACCCAAAATATCATTCAAGCTGTTTATCACTATGTTCAGCCGTGCAGGGAACCTGGGATCTAACAGGTCCCCTTCACAGGTCAGAATTGTTGATAGTTCCTGTCCAATACTATTGTTTGCCATTTACAATCAGCATGGTGAGCTGTTTTTACTCCCATAAAATATTACCGTCCTTTTGAGAGCCATCTAGAGCACCTCAGGCACCTAAAAATTACCTCTATTATAATTATATCAATTATTTTACTAGTGCGCCACTGACACAAAATGCTAATTTCTCAAAGGGGCTATCACAATAACAAAATTTTAGTGAAAAACTCACAATTGACATATAAATTGTACAAATTCAATATTTCTCAACAACTAAAATACACAATATCGCGAATTATAAAGATGGAAATGATCGCAGCCATCTTGTTGGAAGGACGGGGGAGTGTTATTCCATGTGTTCTGAAGGAAATTTCAACCCATACAAACGTGAAAATATTAGAAAATTAGTAAATTCGACTCAAAAAATAGCGAAACAACACTTCTGGGAAGTTTGAAATCACCCTCTCATACATAAGTCCAATTATTTGTTACGGAAATTGATTTGCTTACGGCCAAGAAACATTATATACCCCATTTTATGTGACATACTTTTGACACTCAAATACAGAATCCAGCAGGAGAGTCCGCTACAGCACTTGTCTAGTCAAACTATATGTTCACTATTTTGTACAATTTCGTGTAAAAAGACTGTAAAAACACTCATAATCTTATTAGAAATAATTAAACGCTTTCAACAATAACAACTTGACGCCATTCGTCATGCGCAAACTGTTTGCGCACAAACAAACTGGAATGGAAATCGAAAAATCAAGAAAATACATTGACAGCTGACAGTTTACAGATTGGGTAACCTCAAAAAATCCTCAAATTGACCACCAGATGTCGTAATGAGATGACGTCACCTCACTCCTTCATCAGTCGCATCTTTTTCGGACCTATGAAGACTGACAGCAGAATTTCAGACCAATGGAAAACTGTATCATCTTCAGTGATTCAGTGAATAGATGTCGATGGTGCTGAAGGCGTGATATGGCAATATGGAAATGTAATCTTTAGGGAAAAGATCGATTCTCGAAATCGATCTGGATCGAAAGCGAAAAAGTCGATTCACATAAAAATTGAAAGACAAAAAAAACGATTTTCAGTGAACTTCAAGAAAAGAAATAGAGGAAGATTATTCAAGATCACCATCCATTCACTGAACGTAAGACCATAGAGAACCCACTGAACGTTATGAAACGATACCGTTTTCCACTCGTTTGTAGTAGCTCAAACTTTATTCGCACTGAATATTTTGTCTTTGTATATCATGTTCAATCATCCGAGGATAAATGTATGATAGGTCCAAGAAAATGTTGTCTCGCTATCAAGTGGTAAAGTTGATGATGGTTCTTCCGAGACAAAACGTCGTACGGAAAATCTCTTAACGCTGTTTTATAAAGCTGAAGAAATTGCAATGAGAACAGTTTGTTTTTTGTTTTCCTATATCTCTCAAATTACGTGAAAAATAATAAAAGCGTTCCCAATGATAGACACAGTGTATATTCTAAAGTTTCATTTCAGTAAAAAATCTTACGTATATCGGTGCGCCTTGAGAATTTTCGTCGCATCAAAAGTGACAATGGAAAATAAGTAAACACATGGTAAACATTCTCAACGGTGCAATAGAAACTACAAAAGAGCTAGATATTATGAGTAATACATCACAGTTTAATGAATATTTTGTAAGCTGATGCCAGTGAACGCAGTTAATAATAAATCAAAGAATAAAGTCCATAAAGTATCCCTTCGTCGGCATTGACGTAACTTTTGATTCCAATGGCACCTGTAACCGGTAATGAAGGAATAAAGCTAGGAGAGTACCCTGGTGTCACGCACACTATTCTTTGTTGAAAATTCATCATAAATGACTTTTTTCTCATTATATTGATTTTTTTCTTAATATGGTAATGACTTTTTTCATCATTTTGGGATTGGGAAAAATGGCATTATAATGACTTTTCAAAAAGGAAAAGTTATCGAGATACCAGAGAATGTTTTATTATGAGAAAATAGTTATTTGTGTACCAAGGACGAAACACTGTCTCTTATAGTCGAGTCTGCAAATTGATGGCCGAGGCCTTAGCCGAGGCAAGCAATCAGGCGAGACAATTGACAGTTTTTTCGCCAAGGTTCATACAGCGTTGCCAGCCAAGCAAAATGTAGTAGACAATCACCGAAAAAAGTACTAGTTTTTCGAGAAATATCGTAGTACTGCTCATTCCAACTTAGAAGACAACAGTGGTGACTTGACCTTCGCTCTGATTGGTTGATGAGACCTTGGTCGGAGACAATATTACACCTGCCTAATAATATGACGTGTGACGTGATAGGATGACGTTAGTTATCTTCGTGGGAAGATGATCGCACATCATCAGATTTCATTCATTTGTTGTATATTTTATAATACATTCTGAGAATAAACCCACTACCCAGTTAACATTTTTTTGTTTCTGAAATGTTTCGGAAACGTAGTATTTGATGCATGGAACATTGCATTCAAAGTTGCCTTCTTGTTTCAGAAACATTCCAGAAACTAGTGATGTCCGCCCTCAAGGATGGTTCATGGAAATGTTTCTAAATAATGCGCAAATTGAAACATTTTTGGAAACATTTCTACCATGATCATATCCTGTAGGAATGTTCCATGCAATATTCCATAAATATTTCTTTCGTTATATTACCTGAAATGTTTCAGAAATATTTGTGAAACCAAAGATATTTGCCCTCAAAACTGTTTCATGAATAATATTTCGAATACATCATATATACTTGAAACATTCTGGAAACATTCTATGATCAGATCTTTAGGAATGTTTCTTGGTACATTCCATGAATATTTTTGAGACGATAAATTTTCGCCACCTGAGATGTTTCGTAAATGATGTTTCAAATACATACATATATAAAACATTCTGGGAAGAAGGGGTAAATAGACGACGGAAAGAAAATAATGCCATTGAACTCATTAGTCATTAGTCGAGACACTTCAAAACAGTCGATCGTCATTCTGTAATATTCATTTAATTCATAACTTTGAGTGACGTGAAAACAATTGATACGTAATATTCACTGCATAGAACACAAAACTCGAGAATATATTTGGATGAAAGACATAGACAATAATGACATTTCATATTCTTAGTGATTACTTCATCATTTCTAAGATCATTTCAATTCTCTTCCGTAAACGTTATTTTCCGTACCTTTACGTCTACATAGAGGTTAACGTACAGTGTGTACTTGTACGTAAGCAGTTTGAAGGTGATTGGCTCGCTCGGATTATTTGTTGCGTCCTGTATCTAGATACACGCACGTATCAAATTAATAGCGGTTTCCATTGGGCACTCAGTACTCAGTGTATATCTATCACACAGAGGAATCTAAACACTGTGTGTAACACTAGTTTTATCAAAGGAATCCGCTAAAAGATCCACTGAAAGATCGATCTATACATTCCATAAAAAGATCGATTCAAAGAATAAAAAAATGCAAAATGAAAGCAGCTCCCAGCCCCCTCCCATATAGATGTCCCATAAAATTATTTATTATTTTTTTTCTACAAACGTCAAAAAATGACAAGGTTCGCGCATTGATAACAAACTGCGAAGTGACACTTTTTTTCAGTTTCCTACGTTACCATGATACCTTGCACATAACAATGCGCGAAGTAAAACAGTGCGCGAAGTAAAACAGTGCGCGAAGTACCTACTTCGCGCATTGTAATGTAAAATTAATGAGATATTTATATTTGCACTATATGGTCCTCAATCGAGCAAACATCCATGAAATCATTTATTTCTGAATGTTCAACAATAACTTTGTTTTATCTCTTGAGCGCACGAAAGGAAATTCGTATTATGTTCGTGGAACATCGTGCGTACCTAGGGAGGATAGGGGGAGGCCTTTAAAGCCAGTTAAACACTATTTTTTATATCTAGCTAAGCATATTTTTACTTTAGAACTATATTTTTTGACGTTTGTAGAAAAAATGTTGTTTGCAACTCGAGCGCGAAATACTTTGGTCATCTCGACTATTTTTTTAACTCGGCTACGCCTCGTTAAAAAAATCAGATCTCGATCACCAAAGTAGCATTTCGCGCTCTAGATACAAAAATAACTATGATTCCAATATGAACCCAAAAATGAGAGGGAACAATGAGATTTTTTTATTCGAGATAGGTATTACAAATAGTGAACTTGGTACTAACTAATCTATTATTCTATAATAATGAAGATGATCATCCTCAGTTATCTGGTTCACATGAATCAAACAAACCCTTGTTCCTGATTTGATGAAAAGACTTCTCAATATCATAGTTCCTGAAAACATACAATATGAAATTAGTCATCCTAATCAGGATGATAGTCACAAATGAAAAATTAGTGAAATAAATGGTGAAATCAATAATATATCCACTCCTCTTACTACCAAAATGTAGGAGGGGTACCTATACTCAAATCTAACTGAATCTAATCATGCAATGATTTATTAATCATAAAATATGTGGAATTTTGAGGACTGAGGTTCAGGTATGGTGTGGAACTCCACTTGATTAGGTAGTTAAATGATGAAATACTCACAAAATCCCAAAGTGGAATGAATCAGATGATTGTCAATTATTATATGTTATGAAAAATCATAAAACAGGCATTAAACTTCTTACTGTGGAGGCTATATCAGTGTTTACACCATCTTAGTCATAACTATTTTAGTCTGGTACACAATATTTGGTACCAAACCATCAAGCTGATTAGCTTTTAGGAAGGTACAGTTTATACACCACAGTGACAAAAAGTATTCAGTTACACCTAAATGGGATTGTTCCCTTTAATATGTGCTCCAAGAGATAAAAAAAATTGATGTGGCAATAAACCTTAGCTGTTATGCTTACTATTCATACCACCTACAGTAGGTAGGTATGTCTATTATGAAAATAAATCTATATCCTGTATCCATGCAGAAAATCCGCAGTTTATCAAAAATTTTTAGCTAGAATTTGAAAAAAAACATGATATAATCAAATATAGTAATTACTTGTAGAATTCAGCATAGACCCTTTTTCTTTCATCATTGACAAAAACCTTCTGAACCAAAGCTGCTGCAATAGCAACTGTTCCAGCAACAATTATATTCCTCTTGATGTTTTTCTGAAGGAGACCGCGAAGTTGAGGTTTGACAACTTTTCCGACTGCTCCAGACATTATCTATTAAAAAGTATTTATGGAGATATTACATAATATTTTGGGGAAGACATTTTTCTGTTTCATATCATACAATTAATGTACAAATACTGCTTGTCATGCATGATACACAAGTTTGCATGGCAAAAGAAATCAACTCACCAGATATTTATTGAACCAAGATTGTATGAACTATGAAGATTGTTATATAAAAAAATTCCAGAAGAAAATTTATATCCTCCTTTTTCTTTACAAAGTTACAAATTACAAATCTTGTGTCTTGTCGTCTTGTGTCAGTGTTGGCACTGTTGGCTATGGTAGAGGTGGACAACTATCGATAGCATATCGATAACTATCGATAGTTTTGACTATCGAAATATATCGATAGTTTTTTTCAACTATCGATAATATTCGATAGTTTACTTTTCTGCCCATCACTGGGCTAAAGTAAGGTTAGAGTAGATCTCTGCGACGAAATATATGCGAAATACGCTCCTCCTGGTATGTAATGTACGTACACGTTAAAAAGTTAACATAACATGACGTCGACTGTTATTGCGGTTTCCATCGGGCATGAACTGGTGGTGTATTCATGCACTCAGTGTATATATCTATCCTTCTTTTAGACGTGCAGCAGGAAGAGAAATGTATACACTGAGTGCACACTAGTTTTACCAATGGAATCAGCTATGCTATGAGTGTCCGGCTATCCGGTCACGGTCCGGTCTCTTAGTCTATTGTCTAATGTCTACTCAACTCTACTCAAGTACTCGACAAGTAAATAAATAGAAGTGGAACTAGTTGAAGTGAAAGTATATCGATAATTTCCCTAGTAGCGCCTGATTGTCAGATACGATTTTAGAGGTTATATTTTCTGTCAAATCAATCATAGCCGTAGATGGACAATGGATATAGGGTACAAACACCCACTTCAATTAAAAGTGATAAACTTCTAGCAGAGCAACGACTGTTATATAAATGAAAAGAATGCATGTAACAACATTTTAATATTAGAAAATATACACATGAGGATAAACTTATAGCTATAACTCCTTATTGTATGTGAAACTGTACTCCAGTGATAAGTATCCCAGCAAACACAATTATGTAAAATTGACATAAGTGTTACATAACTGACAATACGTGTTATGTAACTATGTTATGTAAGACTTACATCACTGTTATGGCGAAATGTCCGCCACAAATACTACATGATTATTACGTAACAATTATGTCACTATTTTATATATATTTTATATAATTTCATTGCTATAAATAAGATGTTACGTATATAACAAACTGACATAAATATTACATAACATTGTCTAGATGTTATGTAAAATTTACATCCTCATTATGTAAAAATGTCAGCTACAAATATGACTCCATTTTAATATAATATTGATGAAACTACTTGACTAATATCCGAAATGAATATCGGAATTTCACGAATAACCTCTTCACTTCACTAACTCACTTCACAGGCATATGCACATATTGATAACTAAGTACAATCATCTCAGTAGGTGATCCAAACTCTACACTCCATAATATCTATACTGATATCACTGATGATGATATATGGTTATAGAAATGTGCATGAGAGTTGGAAGTGGGCTAGTGTGAAAAAGAAGTTATTTGGCAATTTTTGATTGTGTGGGAAAATGTAACAGAGACAGATTAGTCATAAAATGCTTAATGGTTTATTATCTCCTATATCATTCAGTATTCACTTCAATTCTCCTCATGTACAAAAAAACTCTGCTTGAAAAATTTTAAGACTTTCTGTTCCAAATAATATGCATTATAGTACACAGTATAATTGATCAGTTGCTAACTTTAAAACAAAAAAATTGTCAAAAAATTATAGACTGAATAATGTTCAAATCGAATAAAATGGAATGTCCTGAATAGAAGATGATAAAACAACATCAACTATCAAATGAAAAACATGACCTTTATTTTTCTTTGAAAATAGTGAAACCAGTTATGTATACTTCAAAAGTTCAAAAAATCAAAATTGTGAGTAATCAAATTATATCTTTCTTCTTGATCTCCCAATTCAACCCTCCATTTAACCTCTGGTGACTAAGTCAGAACCACCTTCCTGCTGGTTTATCTATCAGAGTAAGATATCGAAGGGTGTGTGATAATGATGGAGTCTGAAAAAATATTGCTTTGTTTTTCATTTTTCAAATTAAAATCTAAAATATATATTACCAGATAATGATATTTCGATTGATTTCAAATCTCTGACATCAATGTTTCCCCTCTGCCCTTACCAGGAACATTGTGTGGCCCCTATATAGATAGTCTCTCCCATCTCTACCACCTTGAGTTTTGAAAAGATGTACCTACCTGGAAAAGTATACATTTCAGGATTCATCTTATTGGGGTCCTCTATGAACTTATTTATGAAACAAAAAATAATAATCACTGACAAAATGATTAAATTTCCATAACCAATAATAATAACTTTAATCCAGAATGTGAGGCACTTTGGGGTTTTCACTGGGGTTTTCATCAGCCATCATAATCAATCACTGGCTTTTGTTCAATTCCATATGAGAATTGGAGTTTGACCAGATTATACCTCGGATTCTATCAATACCTACCAGATTCATCATTTATTCTAGGCATATTTAAGAGGTCCAGGATAGATATTATGTAACTATTTCTTTCTTGTTGTTTTCACAGAGGTTAGGAAAATCTCAAGGCATGTTTTATTCTCACTCACCTCCACTGCTTATTCTTATTAACTCTTTTAGTTTAGTTTAATTCATCAAACACAGCAGGTAGAAACAAGAAAAACACTCGAAATAGTTATAAAATACCGAAAATGCCTTCAGTGTAGTTTGTTTATGATCTCGTCTTCACTTATAATAATTATAACTCATAACCTCAAAGTAGTCGACCAATAGGAATTGGGCATGTGGGATGGGGGACCATTACAGCGCAGAAAATTGGTGGAAACAAGAAAATCACTCGGAATAGTAAGAAAATACTGAAAATGTTTTCAGTCTCCAAGTCTTCACTCATTACTTATAATCTCAGAGTGGTCACGGAGAAACGCTACAGTGCGAGAGCGAAAAATAATAATCATCGCGGTGGGGGAACATTACAGCGCAAAGTCTGCAGAGAATTCACGGCCGAGAGTCCTAGTAAAGTCATGTAGCTATCATATAAGCTTTTATATTGATATCAAATTGTCACATATCATTTACATCATAGTTACGTTACATTTTTATATAATTATGGGGTTCACATATTTCAGAATTGTTACGGAATATTTACGTAAATATTTTATATAAATAGGAGGTTCACATATTTCAGAAGTATTATGGAATATTTACGTAAATATTCTATATAAAAAAGTTCCGTTGATTTTATATAACAGTGATGTAAATATAACAGATGTGTTTGCTGGGATAAAACATGAATGCATTCTCAATATACAGGAAGTAACATAAGTACGTTCGATTGAAGCAGTCCTGAAACAATTTCAAGAAATATAGTCTATATAAGCTTGTATCCGGAAATGCTTCATTCCGGAGATACAGGGTGTTGAGATACAGAGAACAAATCAGTTTTCGATGAACATTTCATGGGAAAAAAGTAATTCATTTTGACGAGACCTACCAAATACTTGATTTTAAAAAGTTCTCAGCAAATTCACTAAGCGCCCTAGGAGCTATAAGTAACATGGATCGATATAGAAAATATCTCCAGAACGATGATAAGCTCCAGCATAATTAAAGCCCTTATAATAATTTCCTTGATACATAAATATCTATTCACTTTCCACTGTTGAATTTTGAATTTGGTCGGTACCAAAAACGCCATTTAATAATATATCACGTTGTGGTTTACTTGCTTTTCTTATATAGTTTCGTTTTCAAATTTTTAATTTCATTATGTAATTTTGTGATATTTTCCCCTTTTTCCATGATTATTTTGTTTTGCATTTTGTGTGATGATGATAATGGAATTTTGTTCTTGAAATCGTCTGCTTTGTAAATGAAACTGCAGATTCTATCAAACAGATTTTCAAATCTCCTGTTTGAAAAAGGGCCTAAAATATAGTTTCATTCTAATCAGATACTATTATAAGAAGGGAATTTCAATGAGTAGGTACCTCACAAATTTCGCTCGTCTTCAAATTGATTTTCCACCCAGGCCGTTTCATATCTTCCTTCCATAAGCGAATGCTTGATGTTTGATTTGGAAAATTGAATAAATGATATCCATTTTTTTCAGAATTGGCACAATTTATTACACAGCAAGTGATTTCCATAGCTGCTTTTTTCTCGAAAGTATAATTATGAAATTTCATTTCAATTCTGACGTTAATAAAATTAATTGTCAAATTCGAACAATTTTGAATGAAAAAGCGCGGGACGACTATGGTGCTCTTGTCACAATGCAAGGTGTGTAACTTAATAAATCTAAACATTCAAAAACCCTAACCGTTGTCATTTCTGTGTCCGAACTCTTATCAAACTAATACCATCGGGCGTGTTTTTCATTCCATCGAAGAAAGTGCGCACTGATAGATGCGGTTTTTTGTCGTGACGTCACCAATTGTTCTGTTGGAATTTATGCTGGAAGGATTGAACAATAGTTCATACAACACATTGATGGAAACACGGATTTTGTTGTGTGTCAGTCATCATGTATCTTGAGAATCAGAAAAGGCTAATTCGACTTTATTGATTAACACTGACTCTTTCTTCTAAAATCTCTCAAGAATCTCAAAAATCCTCAATATTAATTGTTTTCTATCAAATCAAAACAAAAAACAACACTAAAATGTGTCAACTGTCATGTCAATCTCCTCCAAACTGCTGGATTCTCGAAATGCGATTTAAAAGTGCGCATTTTATTACAACAGTTTGATGGATGTCCATCAACATTCCAGCGGAATTTTGCAACAGTTTGATGGTTTCTTCGATTCATGCGCATGATAAAAGTGTGGAATGAAAAACGCACCCATCCAGTGACTCTAGGGTCCCTTGATGGAA